AATTTTTTTTTTTTTTTTCAAGGGATATTCCTGCGCGGGCCCTAAGCCTCTGGCTGGCCCACTAAGTGTTGCTTGTTTCTGTTTTACTTGGGCGGAGTATGAGTATTTATGACTCGTATGGTCGCTTTAGTAAGATTTTGCCATATGTGTTTAACAACTTCTTCTGCTCTGTTGAATCTAAGTTGAAATCTTAATGGGTTTGTAACTGTGCACTGTGTTAGATAATGTTCCAGTGGTCTGTCGGGCATTTCTCCACAGTGCTGACATTTCCTCTCATCTTCCGGAACCTGTAAGCCTATTTCCCATGCACATGGGTATCCAAGCCTGATGCGATGTAAATGCACTTCTGTTGCTCTACTGTTCCCTTTCATCAAACTAAGTGGTTCGTAGTTGGTTGAATTCTTGTACCAACCCGCAGATCCTGATGTTGCAACTGCTGTGTTGTGGTCACTGTACATCTTTTGCATTGCTCTGTTTCTAATTACTTTCTTAATCTGTGATAGACTCTGTGGTATGTAAATGTCTACATTTCTCCTCTTAGTAGCAAGTTTTGCAGCTTCGTCTGCAATGTCATTTCCTATTATTCCCACATGACTTGGCACCCAGTTGATAAGTACCCGTCGGCCTTGTCGTTTGAGTGTTTGCATGAATGATATGACATTTGTGATCAGATGGATGTTATCACATATGTGTTCTTGTTGCAAGGTTTCAATGGCGGTTCTCGAATCTGTATGTATGATAACATGTTGTCGGTGTTCAGCAAGAGCATGTTCCAAAGCCTTTTGAATGGCTAGCATCTCTGTTTGTAAAGTCGAACACCCATTTGAGAGCCTCCAACTATTTACAGAGTTTCCTGCTTTAACTGCAGCTCCGGTTTCTTGTCCCTGCTGGTCTACTGATCCATCTGTGAAGTAAGTGAAGCTGTCGGATGCCATGTTTGCTTCTATATGCATCTGTGCAATGTTACGTAGCAGATGAGGATTTGTCTGGTTCTTCTTTCCTTCAAGAGCCATAATCTTAAAGTCTGCTGGCAGAGATTCCCAAGGGGCTTGCATAACAAAGTCTGCATGTATTTCGTCGACACCCCTCTCAGTGACTGTGTTTGTTATATCGAATGTATTGATGGTGTTTATCGCACAATGGGTCCACCTGTTGCTATTGGAGGCTCTTCTGTCCAGAGTTAGTGCTCCAGTGATTATATCTTTAAGTGAACTGATTCTAGGTCTAGTCAATATCTTGGTCAGCATGCACGCAGCAATCCCTTTTACCCTTATTTCAATCGACGTTAGCTTTGTTTCTAGTCTTAGGTTCAGTATTTTAGTCCATCTGGGAGCTCCTGTTATGATTCGCAATGCATCATTTTGAAGAACCTCAACGTTTGCCCACTGACCAGGAGAAAGAGTGAGTAAGGCAGGCGCTGCATAATCAACTAGGGAACGAACGGCGTGTATGTAAAACATTCTTAACACTTTGTGTCCCGCTCCTAGACGGGGCCCTGTGATTGTTCTCATTATATTTAGTCGTGATTTTGCTTTCTCCTTTAGATATTGAATTTGCTTATTGAATGTCATTTTAAAATCTATCCACACTCCGAGATATTGATATTGTGTAACCCACTGAAGGTTAATGTCTTGAATGCGTAGGTGCCTGTCTGGAGTGTTGCCGCCTAGTCTCATTGCCTTAGACTTCTGTGCAGATATTTTTAGCCCTAAAACACTGCATTCAGATGCTACTTTATCTAATGCACCTTGAGCTTTATTTAGAAGTGAAGGACCTGTAATGACTAATGCTATATATCATCAGCATAGCTTAGCAATTTAACCCCTTCTGTAAATGTCATGGTAACAAGGTTTTCCACAAGGATGTTAAAAAGACTAGGACTGAGGACGACTCCTTGTGGAGTCCCATTCTCGTGCAAGTGGTAGTCCGACACTTGTCCTTGCAACTTTACTCTGGCATACCTGTGACTTAGGTAATCTTGAATCCATGCAAGCATTTTTCCCTTTACACCTTTTTTAACTAAGGTGTGTAATATTGCTTGCGGGCTTGCAAGTTCAAATGCTTTTTCTAGATCAAGGAAGATCACTATAGCTGGACCCGAGTTAACTGTTCCTAGTAATGTTGCTATGCAGTTGGCAGTACCTACTCCTCTAGTGAAGCCAAATATGTGTTTATGAAGGTCTCCAGTCTTCCACAGTAGCCTATTTAAGACCATCCGTTCTGCAGTTTTACTAATGCATGACGTTAATGAAATGGGTCTGTAATTACCAGGTTCTTTCGGCTTAGGAATCGGTATGATGTCTGCTTGCTTCCAAGAGGTCGGTAGTTTGCGTTGCTGCCAAGATGCATTGATGACGTCCAATATTCCCTGTTCTCCAGCAGGACCTGCGTGTGCGACCATTGAGTATGTAATGTTATCAGCACCTGGTGCAGTGTCCTTACCACCTTTTTTGGCCCTGATTAGTTCTTGTGTGGTGAGGGGACAGTCACATTCGTCATTTATAGCTATGCTCTCATGAATGACTGTCAACCTCTCTTGTTTTAATTGTTCTTGCTGCCTTCGGACCATTGCAGGAAGCTGATATGAAGCTGTTCTTTCTGCAAATTGGAGAGCAAGTCTCTCAGCCTCCTGCAATGGTTGAATACATGCCTGTGGCCGGGCTGGTCGACCTGATATAGTTTTAATCTGACCCCATATCTTGCCAAGACTACTATGTTCATTTAGAGTTTGACACCACTCAAACCATCTTGCCTCCTTTACAGCTCGAGAAACTCGTCTTGCTTCAGATATCACCGCTCTTAGCAGAGTTCTTCCATCTGGTGTGGGGTTTCTGTTTAGGTGTTTTCTGAAGATGTTGACTCTGTGGTTCTGTTCTTTAACTTCATTACTATAGAACCAATAGTTCTTTCGTTTTGTGTTTCCTGTGATAATGATTGGAATAGCTTTGATTGCAGCAGCTGCAATGGCTTCCTGCAGATTGGTCTCGTGTATGTTCAAATCCTCAGGTGGCGTGTGTGTTGCATACCATTTTTCACGTTCTTCTTGGTATATATTCCAATTGGCCATTCTTAAATTCCACCTAGGCTGTGCAGGTGGTGGAGGAGGTCGTGCCAGGTTTAGTGTCGTGACAGTAGCATAGTGGTCACTGGTGATCACCGGGTCTACTTCCCACTTCGCCTGATGCTTGAGTGCTGTTGAGATGAATGTAAGATCAAGGGAACCTCCTAGAATGTGAGTGGGTTCCCCAGTGTTGAGAAGTGTAATTTCAGGTACTTCTCGCAGAGCTGCAGCTAAATGGCGCCCATCTGCATTGGCTGGCCCAGTTGCACCTAACTCTTGATGATGAGCATTAAAATCCCCAGCAATAATTACATTTTCCTGCGTGGCCAAGGTAAGCACTGCCTCTGCTTCTAGTTTACGTCTAGGGGGCTTGTAGACGTTGTATATGAGGAGCTCAATATTAGCCATATTCACTGTTACTACTAATACCTCTACTCCATCCCCACATGAAACTGAGTCTATTTTCTTGCTGGGTATGGTGTGCCTGACTAGGGTCATTAACCCTCTTTGTCTCCCCTGCTCATACGGTATAACAGTACTGATATCCAGCTAATCTGAAGGATTTCGTGGCTGGGAAAAAAGTTTCTTCCAAAACGATTATATCTGCTTTCGTGCTGATTGCAGCCTCCTGAAGTGTGTGGTTTTTATTTCCAAGACCTTGTATGTTCCACTGCAGTATTCGTAATGGCCAGACGACGGTTTCGGTTGGTGTTGCTTGTTCTACTAGAACTCCTCTTCGGAATCGACCTCTATATTCTCCACCTCGCAAGTCGTGTCGCTGCAAATCGGACTGCATTGATTGTTCGTGGTCATCCCCGGCGTTGTTGGAATCTGTGCATAACTGTGGTCCATCGCTTTGTTGTTGGTATTGCTGCATGTCGGACTGCATTGATTGCTCGTGGCTGTTTCTTGTGTTGTTGGAACCTGTGCATCTCTGCTGTTCAATACGTCTTTGTTGGTGTTGCTGCATATCAGACTACATTGGCTGTTGTTGTCTCTCTTGTGTTGTAAGATTCTGTTGATCTTGGGTGGTCACTGCTTCTTGCAGTTGCTGTTGTAAATGTTGATGTTCTGGTGTCTTGACTACCCGACTGTTGTTGGTAGTCTGTATGTCCATGTTGCATTGTTTGTCCTCTTGTGCTTCGTCTTGTCTCAGACTGTCTATTTCTCGTGTAACTGTGGTCTGCTGCACGATCTTGTCCATTATCACACAAGTGATTTCTTGAGTCTGTTGTTGTGAGGCGTTCTGCGTCACCTGTAGGCAATTGATAATGGTCTCTGCCATGATCTTCACGATGTTTTTCAGCTGGACCTCGGGGGTAAAACTGTATATCTGTTGTGTTGATTCCGAAAGTAATTGTTTTCTGCTCTTTTGCATTTGCTGTATTTCTGCAGCACTTTTGTGTATTTTCTGATTTGGAATTAATAGATTCGGGAAGTTTTGCTCTGTGAGAGTGGGTGTCTGTTGTGGCTGTGTACGAGTGTTCCAGACGTTGGTGTTGGTGTATGTAGTGCTGGTCTGTGTGTTTATCCTGGCCTGAGCTGTCTGCACTTTTTCTTTCCGTGCAGAGCAGGTTGTGCTCCAGGCATGATGTTTGCCTCCACAATTTGGATATTTGGCTGTTGTGGTCTGGTTTGCCTTGTGCTTGGCTATACAGTCTTTGGTTGGATGTCACTGGGTGCACACTCCGCATCTCTCCTGTCCGGTGCAGCGTGATTGATGGTGGCCGTATCTAACCATATTGTGTTAATCTGACCATATTGTGTTAATCTCACCATACCTGCATGCAAGACAATCTCACCATATTGTGTTAAGCTCAACATGCAAGACAGTGCAACCATATTGTGTTCAGCTCACCGTATTGTGTTCAGCTCACAATATTGTGTTCAGCTCACAATATTGTGTTCAGCTCACAATATTGTGTTCAGCTCACCATACCTTCATGCCGGCATTCCTTAAGGTGATGAAGTCTCTAGTGATCTTCTGTATGATGTCTGAGGAGAGGTTCCTTTTGAAAAATTTGTCCAGAACGATGTTCCTGCAAGGTTAAGACCACATAAGATAAACTTCTTTACACAAAGAATGTCACTGTGTTTAAGAGTTCGTGTTCTGTTTACTGTGAGTCAATAGTGTTCATGGGTTGTATCCTGTGAGTGAAGAGTTTTTCGTACTCACCTAATTGTACTCACCTAATTGTGCTTGTGGGGGTTGAACTTTGGCTCTTTTGGCCCCCCCCTCTCAACTGTCAACCAACTGGTGTACAGATTCCTGAGCCTACTGGGCTCTATCATATCTACATTTAAAACTGTGTATGGAGTCAGCCTCCACCACATCTCTGCCTAATGCATTCCACCTGTTAACTTCTCTGACACTGAAAAAGTTCTTTCTAACGTTCCTGTGGCTCATTTGGGTACTCAGTTTCCACTTGTGTCCCCTTGTTCGCGTACCGCCAGTGTTGAATAGTATATTCTTGTCTACCCTGTCAATTCCCCTGAGGATTTTTGTAGGTAGTGATCATATTTTCCCTCACCCTTCTGTCTTCCAGTGTCGTAAGGTGCATTTCCCACAGTCTTTCCTCGTAACTCATGCCTCTTAGTTTTGGGACTAGTCTAGTGGCATACCTCTGAACTTTTTCCAGCTTCGTCTTGTGCTTGACAAGGTACGGGCTCCATGCTGGGGCCGCATACTCCAGGATTGGTCTTACGTATGTGGTATACAAGAATCTAAACGATTCCTCACACAGGTTCCTGAAGGCTGTTCTGATGTTAGCCAGCCTCGCCTATGCCGCAGACGTAATTCTTTTTATGTGGGCTTCAGGAGACAGGTTTAGTGTGATATCAATTCCTAGATCTTTCTCTCTTTCCGTTTCATTAAGTACTTCATCTCCTATTCTGTGTCTTGTGTCTGGCCTCCTGTTACCACCGCCTAGTTTCATTACTTTGCATTTACTCGGGTTAAACTTTAACAGCCATTTGTTGGACCATTCATTCAGTCTGTCTAGGTCGTCCTGTAGCCTCCTACTATCATCCTCTGTTTCAATCCTCCTCATAATTTTTTGCATCATCAGCAAACATTGATAGAAACGATTCTATACTCTCTTGGAAATCATTTACATATATCAGAAATAGTATAGGTCCAAGGACCGACCTCTGCGGGACTCCACTTGTGACGTCACGCCAATCCGAGACCTCACCCCTCACAATGACTCGTTGTCTTCTGTTACTTAGGTACTCTCTTATCCAGCGGAGTACCTTCCCTTTCACTCCAGCCTGCATCTCCAGCTTTTTCACTAGCCTCTTCTGTGGTACTGTATCAAAGACTTTTTGACAATCCAAAAATATGCAGTCTGCCCACCCCTCTCTTTCTTGCCTGATTTTTTGTTGCCTGGTCGTAGAATTCAATTAGCCTTGTGAGGCAGGACTTGTCATCCCTGAACCCATGTTGATGCTGCGTTACAAAGTTCCTTCGCTCCAGGTGCTCCACTAGCTTTCTTCGCACAATCTTCTCCATCAGCTTGCATGGTATGCAGGTTAGGGACACTGGCCTGTAGTTCAGTGCCTCCTGCCTATCCCCTTTCTTGTATATTGGAACTACATTAGCTGCCTTCCAAATTTCTGGCAGTTCCCCTGTTTACAGTAATTTGTTATACACTATGGAGAGTGGCAGGCACAGTGCTTCTGCTCTTTCCCTTAGTATCCAAGGGGAGATTCCATCTGGGCCTATAGCCTTTGTCACATCCAACTCTAGTAAACACTTTTTTACTTCCCCACTGGTAATCTCAAACTCTTCTAGTGGTTCCTGGGTAACTATTCCCTCTCTTATCTCTGGAATCTCTCCTTGCTCTAAGGTGAAGACCTCCTGGAATTTCTTATTCAGTTCCTCACACACTTCCTTGTCGTTTGTAGTGAATTCTTCTGCCCCTATCCTTATATTCATTACCTTTTCCTTTACTGTTGTTTTTCTCCTGATGTGGCTATGCAGCAATTTGGGTTGAGTCTTTGCCTTGCTTGCGATGTCATTTTCGTATTGTCTTTCTGCCTCTTTTCTCATCCTGACATATTCATTCCTAGCACTCTGATATCTTTCTCTGCTCTCAAGTGTCCTGTTATTCCTATAGTTTCTCCATGTCCTATTACTTTGCTGCTTAGCTAGCCTACATCTCTGATTAAACCATGGGTTTCTCATCTACATTTCATTGGTTTCCTTTTGAACTGGGATAAACTTGTTCGCTGCTTCCTTGCACTTGTGCGTGATGAAGTCCATCATGTCCTGGGCCGTCTTTCCCCTGCGCTCTGTTTCCCATGTCATATCTGTTAGGAATTTTCTTAACTCCTCATAGTTTCCCTTTCGGAATGCCATTTTTTTGTTTTCAGTACCCCTCCTCCAGTTCAATAACCCTTCCTCAACCAGATACTCAAACTCCAGCACACTGTGGTCGCTCATTCCTACTGGAGCCTCATAGCTGATTTCCCCTATGTCGGAGTCGTTCAGAGTGAAGACCAGGTCGAGTCTCGCTGGTTCATCGTTTCCTCTTATCCTAGTGCGTTCCCTGACATGTTGGCTTAGAAAGTTTCTTGTCACCACCTCCATTAGTTTGACTCTCCATGTATCCTCTCCTCCGTGCGGTTCCTTGTTCTCCCAGTCTATCTTTCCGTGATTGAAGTCTCCCATGATGAGCAGATGGGATCTATTTCTACAGGCCGCAGTGGCTGCCTTCTCAATTATAGTGTTAACTGCCATGTTGTTGTTGTTATACTCTTGCCTTCCCAGTTCCAAGGGGTTGTCATAGCCAGGGGGTGGTAATGGGGGACGAGCTCCCATGACCTATAAAATGCTCCTATACAGCATGCGTCTCCAATAGCATCTGACAACCAAGTCCAACTCCTGGCCTGCACGGGTGGCTTAGTCGTTAAGTCCGGCGGAACTGCTTTTATCGACAGGAGAAGGGGCGAGGGTGTGCCTCTGGCGCCTTAAAACCAGCTGCTCCGGGTAGATGGGACTCGATAGCCTGGGAAGGCAGCCCATCTAGGGGAAGGAAAACCCTGATTTTAAACCTCTGCTGCCTTGCGGCCATACCCCTTTTTTGGAAAAGGCTTCAGGAGTTAACCTCGAGGAAAACCCCGGAGTTGGAGCCCCTAAGGCAGTTCGTTGTTGACGTCGACCTCGTTCTGGCAGCTCCTGCAACGTTGCTGGAACCATGCGTATTGGCATTTGCCTTTCTATTGGATAATTTCATCAACGTGGAGAGGGGGGACCTGCTGCATGGGTAACAGCTTCATCTCCATATCTACCTACCCAGGCTTTGTGCCCTGTCAGGGCACAACTCCATAGTCTTTAGACTGAAGGATGCCTACTACTCTTGCCTTGGTGTTCTGTCATTTGGTGGAGGGTTATATATCACTGCTACTACTACTTTTGCTCCTCCCAATGTCATGGTTCCTGTTATGTAGTCTCTGAATCCCTCGCATCCCGGGATGATCATCTCCTTGAAGCTCCATTCCTTTCTTATTAGTAGGGCCACTCCACCTCCTCCCCATCCTTCCCTCTCTTTCCTTATTACAGTATAGTTCTGGGGAAACCGCATTCGTTATGATACCTGAGAGTTTTGTTTCTGTGAGTCCGATTATATCTGGGTTCACTTCTTGTGTTCTTTCCCGTAGTTCACTTGCCTTGCTGGTGATCCCATCTATGTTCGAGTACATCACCCTTAAGCTGACTCTCTTCTGTCCTTTCTCAGATCCTATTGCTTCCCTTGAAGCAGGGAAACAGGGAGGGACCAGGATGGAGGGGGGGGGGGGGGCTATGAAGGGGGACTTGGGGGGGTATGGGGTGTGCGGGGGCTGGGAGGATCTGGTACGGGGAGGGTGGTGTAGGGGGGGGGGGGTTTGGGGGGGTTGGGGAGAAAAGAGGTCTTGGGGGGGTGGGTGAGCAGGGGAGGCTTGGGGGAGGGGGTGAAAGGGGGAGGCTTTGGAGAGTGTGGGAGAAGTTGGGGCTTAGGGGGGTATGGGAGGAGGGAGGGCTTGGGGGAATGAGGAGGAATGGGGGGGCTTTATGCTTTATGCTTGGGAGGGCATAAAAGGAAGGAGGGCTTGGGGGGGAAGGTTGTGGGATAGGGAGTGCTGAGGGGGATGAGGAAAAAGGGAGGGCTGAGGAGAGTGGGAGGGGGGGAGGGAGGGCTCAGGAGGGTGGAGGATACTGGAGGGTTTAGGGGGGGGACAGGGGAGAATGAAGGGCTTGGGGATGGGGGAGAAGGGAGGGCATGAAGGATTAAGGAGGGCTTTGGGGTGGGGGAGAAGGGAGGGCATGAAGGATTAAGGAGGGCTTTGGGGTGGGGGAGAAGGGAGGGCATGAAGGATTAAGGAGGGCTTTGGGGTGGGGGAGAAGGGAGGGCATGGTGGGGGGGGGAGGTAGGGCATCTATTGGATGGAGGATGGGGGGGGGGTGCTTCTCTCAATGTGTCTCTTGAGTCGCTTGTGGAGGGTTCCCCGTTCCCCTCTGGGATTGTAGGGCTCCGGGTTGTGGCTCCCTGATTCCTTTCTTTCTCCCTGCACTCCCTCCTCGCAACTGCTGCCCTCTCTCTCTCATCCCTTGTCATATCCCTCTGCAGGAATACCTTTTTGAACCTCTGTACATTTGCTAGTCTGCTCTTCCTTGCTAGCAAGTTCTCTTTTGTTCACTCGCTCTTGAATACCACCTTTATTACATGGTCTCTGTTCTTGTTGTACTGTCCAACTCTGAAAACCTTTTCAATATCTTGGTCAGCCCTCTCCATCTTTATCCCTTTAAGGATTTCATTAACTTCATTTTTGTCCTTGTCTCTCCTTTCCACTCGACTGGTCCCTGTTTGCTCCTGAATGCCTATTATTACTACTGCTCTTTTTCGCTCTATCAGCTGGCTAGTACATCTAGCTGCTTCCTGAGAAGAAGCCACTTCCATGGCAACTTCTCTAACTGCAGACCTAGTTTCAGGGCTCTTTTTAAGCATTTCTGCAAATCGTGGTCTGTGTACTGTGAGTGAATAAGGTTCGTGGTCTGTGT